ACTACACACACACGCACACACACACACACACGCACACACACACACACACATATATATAATATATATATATATATATATACATACACACACACACACATATATATATACAGACATACACACACACACACACACACACACACATATATATATATATACATATATATATATACATATACATATATATATATATATATATATATAACCGCGTAATCAACTTGTCTGATTCATGTGGTGAACCTGGTATTTACATGTTCCTCTAGACAACTGACTAAAATTGCAATATTTTATCATGTACACAGCAGACGCAAATGATGATGATGCAGCCACCAAGGATACCTGGTCAATACATATCGCACCAAGGCGGTCGTCTCAGACCTACACTTACGGACAAAACCGCACGCGATGATTGTTTTATCAAATTCTTTTTATCAACCCGTCAGTTCATAGAAACCCTAGGTGTTATTATCTCGTTCGCTGTTAGTATATTTATTGACCTCGGGAATGTATATGCACAGAAGAAAGAGACTGAGAATGTATTTGATCCCGCGGAGGACAACGACAACCCCTACCTGATATACGCTGTTATAGCTAATGTGTATGGTATCTTCCTGCTTTTGGTATCAGCGTTAGTGGGGAAAATGTTTGGAAATACTTTGGCCAAGAAACATTACTGCGTGGCGGTTATGTATTTTATTATCACAGCCCTATATCTTGCCATTGTAGTTGTACAAGCTGCCACCGCAGTGATATTTTTCCTTGATGTAGTCAAGCCATACATGGATAAGCTCGATCTCATGAACAGCGGCAGTGAGGATACTATGCTGGGTAACGCGACAGATGTGAACAATACATTTTTGGAGTCAAATAGCACTTCACTGTAAGTGTATCAACCGTTCATTTAAAAAATAGCATGTTAGTACATATGCAACGTGTTAGTCTGAATACAAAATATCACACGTCGAATAGCATGCAAGTATGTATGCAACGTGTCAGTCTGAATAAAAAAATTACACGTTAAATAGCATATAAGTACATATGCAACGTGTTAGTTTGAATAAAAATTATCACACCTCGAATAGCTGTAAGTACATATGCAACATGGTAGTCTGAATGAAAATTACCACACGTTGAATAGCATGAAAGTACATAAGCAACGTGTTAGTCCGGATGAAAATTATCACATGCTAGGAACATAAGACTGCTCAGGGCAATTCATGACTTGTTTTGTAGACACCAGAGTTCGAGTCGGACAAGCTGCATGTAGTCTCAGCGAGTGTAATCAATGGGGAAGGTGCGCGCAAAGATTTTTTGTACTTCCTTATAAAATTCTGATTGTGATTGTATTTAAGTTCACATACGTGCACCAGTCTCGACTGGATAACGCCCTGTTCTTACGACTATCATGTCCCTCCAGCGGAACTACACTACACGCGTGGCGAAATGAAATTGATGGCATCTGTATGTAAACATATAAATATTATTGTGAGCTAAGCGGCAGAGAGTGAGATCAATACCATGACCCTCTGGACAGAATCAGGGTCTCTGCGGAAAGAGTGGAGACATTGATAATTTTCGTTGAGACGCCATCCAGAGGACCATGTATGTCTTAAAAATAGATAAGACTTACCTGGTACCTCGCTTGATTTTCATGACCCCATAAGTCACAGGATTAGGTAAATAAATACAATTAGGCGATATAATAATAAGTCTATGTGACGGTTGTGTGACCTCCCCAGATATTTATTTTAGAGAGGGCCGTTTTTCTTCTTCAGAAAGTTAAACCCTAAACCCTATGGACAGTTCGGTTTTCAAAGGACAACAACTATTTTTTGTAATAAATAAAATTTGAAACGTCACGTGCACCTTTTTTTTTCGCGGGCTTCTGCTTCTCTCACTCTATAGAGAGTCACACAGGCGAATGTATGATTCTGACGTATTGTATTTATTCTTTTTATTTTATTATGTAAATATGTGCCTGTCCAAGTGTCCATATCTTTTAGACTCTCCAAAGCGACTATAATCTATTCATTGTCAACGTTTGCACTGCCGACCATGGATTTAGACGATATCGAAGATATTGTTAGGGAAGGTGACGACTTTGGGTCGGCTGGTAGTGGGGTACGGAAGTACGTCGTTCCGCGAGCGCGCGTCACTACCAGAAAGGTACCAATACTGTCCAATCGTGACTACCAGAAAGGTACCAATACTGTCCAATCGTGATTGTGTTGCATCTACAGCATGTACTGTTGTCATCATCCCTACGCCAGACTTCTTTTCATGAATGTCTTTTGGATCTTACAGTACACCGATTTCTTCGTATTTTTAACGATCAGCGAACAGATATATTTGCCTATTGAAG